TTTTGCAAATCAAACACGTTAAAGGTATGGCCGCAAATTTTAATCACGCCTACACGAGTGAGAGAACCCGAATCATATGAACAAAGCAATGCAACATTCAAATAGTGCTAACTGCTTTTAGCTACAAGTTGCAGTCGAGCATTTAATAATGCCACGTGTGCGTAAATTACTAGAAAAAATACAAAGTGTCTGTGTTTTTGAAAAAAATAATAAAGGGAAAGATATATTCGGTGAGAAAATTGACTGAATCTTTTCAACTTGACTAATATTAATAGCTATGATAAAATTATCAATAGAATTATTTGTTGTTAATGTTTGGAAAATAAATAGTTGAAACGACTCGTTAGTAATGATAAGGAACCGCAATAAATGAAGCGATTAATGTGCTTCTATAACGACTTTTGATAACATGGGCTTTAAAAATAATGTACGTATAGATGCGAGTGTCAATTGGGCATATTTCCTTTAAAAGATGATGTGACGAATTGAATAGATTAAAAAAGGGCCTCCCTCTGTGACAAAGTATTATAGACTTCGCATGTGTTAATAAATTTCTTAAAAGCCTTGTCATGTTTCAATATTCGAAAGGGCAACCCACCCTCCGCCTTCTAAGACACTTTTATTAACTGTTTTTAATCAGTTGATGTCCGCGAGTCTGATGTTCATGCCGGCTTGTAAGTCAACAAGTCTTGCTCGTGGGTACTAACTGTTTGGGCTTTTAACGCGCTGGTTGCAAGCATGGAGAGACAAAAGCGAGACTTTATACTTAATTCAACCGCAGACTAGAAGTACTTACAAAGGCCCCACCCACGTATAAACTACTAACAATTGTTGCTGATCTTACATCAAACGGGACAGAGTTATTGAAGTATATTGAATCTGACAATCTCTGCAAATAGCTTGGAAACCAGTCACCCCTGTTTTATTATTCCCATCAAACAAATCCGGATTTGACTAATCACTAATTGGTTTATTGATGTCATGGTAACGCCTGGAAAACTTCTCAATCAACACAATGTATTGGAATGTATATACAACTTAGGGAGTTATATACGTCACGAGGACTCCCTAGTTGATTCATGCACGTAATGAACAAGTACATAGAAATAGATTTTCAGTGGTGAATGTAAAACTATAATCCTCTTACACACATGCTGACATATTTACACCTGGTAAGCCACTACAAGAAGGATTGACAGCCAATTTTCTATTTTATATATAGAGTTGAATGAATATCCTGGATTTGTGATGAAGAAAGCACTCTGTGGCCACAGGGGATTTCACGATACGCCGCGTACCTCGCGTAAATTGTCAGTTATTGTCTATTTACGTGCGTTAATTGCCTGAATATGAATCCAACCAAGCAGATGCGATATGAGCGCACGAAAAATAAATAAGGGATAAAAGTACTTCATGTGATTAACGAAATAATGTGATCTCCCGTGTTACGATGCGTCTTTCAATAACGGTGAGCTTCCATATAGTCAATCCGGCTGCAAACATTACACAAAACTCTATTCACAAACTTCAGTCGAATATGAATAAATACACATTGGAGTTAGTAATGTGTATTTATTCCTTACTGCGTTGGTCGTTCACACCTGTTTCAAATCACGAAATGCAATATTACTGTTTAACATTATGTCACAATGATTGTCGCTTTGGTATTTTAGGAACACGCTGCTGGCCTCAGCTGTATTTCTTTTCAATCACCAGAAAGGATGCAAAGTGAAAATACAGCGTGTATCGACGCATAATGGGATAGTAACCGGGCTAGTAAAGTGTAAGTGTTACCAACCCCGCAACCCGCTGGTTTGTCTTCACTGCATGGTGCGAGGTGTTAGAAACTCCAACAAGAGAGCAATACCTTTACGCATGGTTGTTATATATAATATGTGAATCATATGACACTGATATTATAATATTCGTTAAATGACCTATTTTATAAATTTGAGTTTGTTTCACAAATCAACTCTGTATCATGATGCCACGCAAATATCTCGCATGCTCAAGTACGCGTGAAGTACGTACCTACGTGGAGCGTGTTTTTCTTGTTTTTTTTTTATTATGCAATACTCTCTTCACTACAAGCATGTTTTGCTCACGGTGGCGTGTTTCTCTATTGTATGTGTCAGATGCAGATGTTGTCTTTGCAAAATTCTTTGTCCCCCTGTATAACTTAACCCCCACTATCGACGGAAATAATGGTCCATCCCTATATGTAAACGTGGCACAATTTCATGACGTCACGCAATACCCAAATGTGTTCGGTATAGTGATTTGCTGACGCCAGTGTGTTTGTTGTTGTCATCAACGTCATGTTGGAGTTATAGGCTCAGACACGTCACACACTATACCAATCAATACACTTAGTACAATGTATATTTGAAGAGAATGTCCACGAA